TATATCTTGTAAAATTTTATAATCTTTTTATATATTATAACATTTTATAATCTTTTATAATCTTAGTCCTCGAACCCTAAGAATAACCCTACTACTCTACTTCTGGTCCTAACCACAACCGTAACTTATCTCCAGCTTTAACCGTAAGCCTAACCCCAACACCAACCCTAATGGGTTAACCGATGGTTCTTTTAACTCTCATGCGTTAAAAATGGCTTCCTACGTTTATTATTGTGTAAAAAAATTGCGTGTTCAAAAAGGTGGCAGCTGTGTGAACAAGTTCTTTCATAGTGTTCGTCGCTCTATACATAAATAGACTCCTGATAGATATCCACACGCATCGCATTAGAAAGTGAATTTTTGTCTCTCTGATTATCATGGGCATCATTTCATATTATTCATTCTCTTATATTTATTGACATTGGATTATCTCATATGGTAGACGTCATACTACGCATCAGCATATCTACTATAGCAACATCTGGGATTTTGCGCAGAATCTGACGAATGTGTAGAGGCGGCCCACCGCTGTGAGGAGAACTCCGTCTGCGCAGAACACAATCGGGGCGGCTTACAGATGCGTGCCCGTGAGGCTTGGCGCCTGACGACAACACAGAGAGGTTACCGTGGCAACGCAGCCCGATGGCGGCTGCCCTAGTGGCTTCTCGTACAATCCCAACGTATAGCGAGATGTGGAAGTATAGGAAGGTACAGAAGCCGGTATATAATATATAATACTATCTCTATCTTTTCTCTACGAAGGACGCGAGAATATACAACGTAATAGAGGAGAAAAAGATTATGTATGCTCGCAGGACACTATATATATATATAGTTATTTATATTTTTTATTTATTTATCAAAGTTATTCAAGAATTAAAAATTAATGACAAAGCGGCCTTAACCGACATATTAACAATATTGTTTAGCGAAATTTAATGTTAAAGAAATCAGTGAAAACTCACAAGTCAATAACCGAGTGCTCGATCATTACATGACTTCAATTTTGCTCTAATTTGGCGGTGATTGGTTTAGCACAAGACGTGGTGACAGATGCAATTTGTATGTGTAAATATTCAATTACTGCCCGACGTAAGATTTTCTCAATCTCTTTCACTTCTCGGCTGCGCAGACGATAAACGAGTGCATGAGTTATAAGCGTCTGCCTCAGCACGGCACAAGCGCTGCCTCAACACGGCCCGGATCGTACATGGTGCGTTCTGCGAGCTGAGCGTTTCACTACGAATTACGTTTCAACGATGAATGCGAAGGCATGTATGGCCAGGGCATTCGTAGCAGCATTTTTAATAAAGCCTCGCTAGAGGGCTGCATACTGGAGTTGAGCTGCGTAAGGTCGTGTAGAGGTTTGGCTAGGTGTACGTGCGGAGGCTGGCCAGAGCCGGGAAAGCTAGATGTAGAAGATAGAAGGCTGCCGTTGACTAGATAGTAGGGCCTAATAATTAAGCTTCGTAAAGGAGCTAGTTAGTGGGTAGGACGGACTGAATAGAAAAAACTGGTTTCAGAGCGTATGATAGAGTTCTGTATGCCGACATTGGCCAGATATAAACACTAATAAATCGCACATCAGGCATATAAATAGCGATATGTGTCCTGTCTGTTCGTATCATGCCCAGTTTGTATGTTTCATTTTTGCGTAAAGTTGATTCACGTAATGTCTGCTATTGTGTGTTGCCGGGCGCTCGTCGTGCGTTCGTGTATGTGTGTGGGTGTGTGTGTGTGTTGCGTGTGTGGTGTGTGTGATGTGTTCAGTAATGTGTGTGTTGTTGATGTGTGGTGTAATGTGTGTGCTACGGCGTTCCACTGCGTGCCTGCGGTTGCGTGCGTGTATGTGTGTCTCGCGCGTCGCCGTGCGTGCGTGCGCTGTGTGTGTGTTGCGTGCGTGCGTGTGTGTGTGTGTGATTTATCCACTCAGAGCCTACGTGATGTTGCAGACATCAACGAGTGTGCGTTGGGCATCTCGTCATGTCCGATCAGTCAGCGATGCGACAACTCTATAGGCTCGTACATCTGCACGCGGGAGGTCAACTGTGGCACGGGTTACACGTACAATTCCGACAATCAGCAGTGTACCGGTAAGCCTCCTCTCTCTCTCTCTGTCTCTCTCTCTCTCTCTCTCTCTCCGTCTCTCCAGCAGTATAGCGCATCAGTAGATGTATGCTCGTCTGCGATCAGTGTTAAAGCTTTGATTTGATGCTTCTTCGTTGATACGCACTGCACGTGATGAATAGTTATAGTTTTGTGAAAAGCTAATGAAGTGTCATCTGTACCCCGACCATAAATTTGTCGTTAATTGTTCACAATTTAGTAAAAACGACTTATCACTAGTCCAACACTATCCAACAGTATATTTCCCTAGGAAAGGGTGAATTTGCTCTCAGGCATCATTCCCTGGTCATCGGCCTTACGACGGTCATGTACAACATTTTAGCAACATTTGTGCAACATTCTAGCAACCTGTGTGCAGCGTTTCAGCAACCTGTGTGCAGCATTTCAGCAACCTGTGTGCAGCATTTCAGCAACCTGTGTGCAGCATTTTAGCAACATATGTGCAACAGTTGTGCAACATCGTCTACTAGCGGATGCGTGCGTTTATTGCAGATGATAACGAGTGTGAACTGGGCACCCACAACTGCGGCCCCGCGTACGACTGTCACAACCTGCAGGGCTCGTTCCGCTGCACCATCAAGACATGTCCGCCGGGAGAAACCATTAATCTGCAGACAGGGGTGTGCAGAGAAGTGCAGTGTGCACGAGGATTCCGCGCAGACATCCAGGGCAACTGCGTGGGTGAGTTCGTTAGTTAGCTACTCCCTAACCTGCAGGGCAGGACACCAGGCTGCAGCAATCCTCCGCTATCTCACTCCACGTCTGTCCCTCACCGCGACCTGTCTTCGCATCAAGAAACTCTCGTCTCTCCTAGGTCGTCCTCCTCAGTTCAGCGCCATGTTGTTTTTTGCGCTACCACGTTTCCGCTTTCCTGCTGGTGTCCATCTGAAGGCTAGAGCTACCTTGGCTATTCGCTCTTGGGCCATTCTCAGCAGCGAAGCCTCTGATTCGGCATATCCTGGGCTGAGTAGGTTACGTGAGTGTATATAACGCAGCAACGAGCAAACCTTGAGCAGACACAGCAAATCATGGCGAAAGAAACATTGGTTTCTTTGGTTATTGCGCATCGGGTAGATGAACAACCGAGCGACGTAGAGCGACGTTCTCATGGTATATTAGGACTATGCAGTTTTGTAATGTTAGTTCAGCGCTAGAAGTGAAGACCTTTATAGACAGATGGGCAATCTACATAACGAATAAAACACGTTTGACTCTATTTGAAGATATCTCGGGCTCGACGTTTATATCAATCAGGTAGCATTCAGAAGTTCAGCATTCAAACGTTTACGTTTCCATATGTTTATTCGCGCAGACGTCAACGAGTGTGAGACGCGGCCCGACACGTGCAGACGCAACCAGCGCTGCCACAACACGATCGGCTCGTACGAGTGCAAGAATCTGCTCAACTGCGGCACGGGATACGAGCTGAGCGAGGACGGCACACAGTGCATGGGTCAGCAGCTGAGACAGCTCGTAATGTGCATACGCACTACGCAGTATATATCCAGCTTTAACCGTAAGCCTAACCCCAACACCAACCCTAATGGTTAACCGATGGTTCTTTTAACTCTCATGTTAAAAATGGCTTCCTACGTTTATGATTGTGTAAAAAATTGCAGTGTTCAAAAAGGTGGCAGCTGTGTGAACAAGTTCTTTCATAGTGTTCGTCGCTCTATACATAAATAGACTCCTGATAGATATCCACACGCATCGCATTAGAAAGGAATTTTTGTCTCTCTGATTATCATGGGCATCATTTCATATTATTCATTCTCTTATATTTATTGACATTGGATTATCTCATATGGTAGACGTCATACTACGCATCAGCATATCTACTATAGCAACATCTGGGATTTTGCCGCAGATCTGGACGAATGTGTAGAGGCGGCTCACCGCTGTGAGGAGAACACCGTCTGCCAGAACACAATCGGCGGCTACAGATGCGTGCCCGTGAGGCTGCCGCCTGACGACAACACAGAGACGGTTACCGTGGCAACGCAGCCCGATGGCGGCTGCCCTAGTGGCTTCTCGTACAATCCCACCTATAGGAGATGTGAAGGTATAGGAATGGTAACAGAAGCCGGTATATAATATATAATACTATCTCTATCTTTTCTCTAGAAGGGAGCGAGAATATACACGTAATAGAGGAGAAAAGATTATTTGCATCGAGACACTATATATATATATATATATTTATTTATTTATTTATTTATCAAAGTTATTCAAGAAATTAAAACATATACAAGCGCTTAACCGACATATTACAATATTGTTACGAAATTTAATGTAAAGAAATCAGTGAAAACTCACAAGTCAATAACCGATGTCGATCATACAGACTTCAATTTTGTCTAATTTTGCGGTGATGTGGTTTAGCACAAGACGTGGTACAAATGATTTGATGTGTAAATATCTCAATTACTGCGAGGAGATTTTCTCTCATCTCTTCACGTTTCTCGGCTGCAGACATAAACGAGTGCATGAGTTTAAGCGTCTGCTCAGCACGGCACGAGCGCTGCCTCAACACGGCCGGATCGTACATGTGCGTCTGCGAGCGAGGTTTCACTACGAATACGTTCAACGATGAATGCGAAGGCATGTGTGGCAGGGCATTCGTAGCAGCATTTTTAATAAAGGCTCGTAGAGGGCTGATACTGGCAGTGAGCTGGTAAAGGTGTGGTAGAGGTTTGCTAGGTGTACGGTGGGAGGCTGGCAGAGGAAAGCTAGATTAGAGATAGAAGGCTGGTAGATAGATAGTAGGCTAATAATTAAGCTCGTAAAGGAGCTAGTAGTGGGTAGACGGACTGGAAGAAAAACGGTTCAGAGGTATGATAGATGTATGCCGACATGGCAGATATAACACTAATAAAATCGCAATCAGGATATAAATAGCGATATGTGTCCTGTCTGTCGTATGCATGCAGTTGTATGTTTCATTTTGGTAAAGTTGATTCACGTAATTCTGCTATGTGTGTGTGCGCGCGTGCGTGCGTTCGTGTATGCATGTGTGTGTCTGTGTGTGTGTGTGTGTGTGTGTGTGTGTGTGTGTGT